GGGGGGGGGGATGGTTGATTTATATCTGAATTCGGTACTTTGTTCAGCAGTTCTGATATGCGTCTAATAGAACCGTTGGAATTACTATTATGGTTCGCTATAGTGAATGTTCACTGGTCATGCAAACCTGATTGGAACTCTTTGACCAGCTCCTTAGATACTGTTCTTTCTTATCGAGAAATTATAGAGCTGCAATTTGCCTATCACTGACTGGAACTTGAATCAACTTCATGCAAATGTATTGTTTCAGGCGATCTTCTTTATTTTATTTGTTCTTGTGCTTGCAATTTTGATCGTTCACCTCCTTATAATATCTGGAATTCAATTTATTCCAGAAAGTCTTGCAATTGTTATTCTGGGTACGTATTAGCTTCCTAACCGCATTATTTGCCAGTTTTTCCTTTTATCTTGATCATCCAGTTGGAGGTCAGTAGGAATTATTAGCTGAAGCTTGAATTTGTTTTTAAGGAGCGGTCGTAGGATCGATACTTTCCTATTCTGATCATGATTGGAGCGAGATAGAGGCTCTAAGCCCCGGTTCGTTAATCGATTTAGATTTGTCACCGTTATGCCTATCATTGTTTTTTTCTTTTCAGATGTGTTTTTCCTAGTCTTATTACCTCCTATAATATTTGAAAATGCATATAATCTTAACAAAGGCTACTTTTTCTCAAATATTGGTCCGATTTTGTCGTTTGCCATATTAGGAACGGCAGTATCGGCACTTGTTATTGGATTTTGTATATACATACTCGGTCAAGTAAGTGTCTCTGTGAAGTGAATCTGGTATTCCTGGGCCTAAACTAAATTTTCTTTTTCAATTTGTGTTTCAGGCTGATCTAGTCTACGAGTTTTCTGTTTTCGAATGTTTTGCTTTTGCTTCCACGATATCTGCTGTCGATCCGGTGGCTACTCTGGCTATTTTTCAAGCAGTGAAGGTACGGTTACTCCTTTTCGATGTTCCATAGTAAGGAGCTTGAGAAGGATTCAAACGTTTATTGCTTTTTGGCTTTCGATTACCAAAAGCCAGAGTGTTATTGAATGTTTCTCATTTAATTAATATCTCGTTTGTTCACGAGATGTTGTGCTAGGAAAACGTGTTCAAATAGATGACGTCCTTGATCCTCATCTGTTCTGAGCTTGATATAGTTCCTAAATTTTTAGGTCGAGGGCTTACTGTACATGCTGGTGTTTGGCGAATCCATGCTGAATGATGCCGTTTCTATAGTGTTGGCAGCAACTGCTATACGTCACTCTCATCCACCACTCAATAGGTTTTTGCTCCNCTAACTTGGCAACATATCAGCTCTCTTTCAGTCTGGGACCATCAGAAATTCTTGCCAGTGTATCAAGTACATTTCTTGCAATGTTTACCCTATCAGCTGTGCTTGGTCTGGCTATTGGACTTCTCAGTGCTTTGGTAAGCTTTACTTCGAAGTAGAAGAGTTACTGCATTTTTCGAGGACAAGAATATCAAGGTGTGATGTACGTGGTTGTATTGTGATTTTGACGATCCTATGCAGTGAAATTGAGAATCAGCCAAACCATTTGACGAGCTGTGTCTTATTTCAGCTGTTCAAGCATGTTGATCTCAGAAAAACTCCATCCCTTGAGTTTGCTCTTCTCCTAATATTTGCTTACATTCCATATGGATTCGCTGAAGCGCTGTCACTCTCAGGTATTCTAATATAGTGTTCTACTCGTTCAACGGATATTCCAAAGCTCGATTTTTAAGGTATTATGGCCATATTGTTCTGTGGAATAACAATGTCTCAATATACGCAACAGAATATCAGTCCAGTCACGCAAATAACATTTCGACAAACTTTTCGAACTATTTCATTTGTAGCAGGTAATCCTCTATTTGCTCCTCATGGGTTGTAATCCCTATTTCTGTGTTAGGTATTTTGGGTCACCGTTTTACCTAGACACTTCAGATACAGTTGAATGTTTTTCCTAAGAGAGGTTATTCTAAGAAATTTTAGTGACATTTAGGTGATTGAATGTTTTTCAGAGACGTCGACGTTTGCATATATCGGCATGGCATTCTTCACGATCAAATTGAACTTCCAACCATCTCTAATTTTTTGGTGTATAGTAAGTTTCTTTGAAAATCTTACCCTCTCGATGTGTAGATTACTTTTTTTCCTCATTTTGTTAGAAGAAGTTTTTATGAGAGTTATCACCGTTTTGAAGGTTTTATGTCTCGTCAGTCGAGCATTGAATATCTTTCCAATCTCCTATGCAGTAAACAAGTGCCGTCGTGAAGTACAGATTTCTATGAAGAATCAAATCATCTTATGGTTCAGTGGTTAGTACCTTTGACATGTGAGGATAATTTTGAAGGTTGTGAAAATTTGAGGGGCGAGTAACATCCTTCGCGTGTCAGGTCTTTAAATTGGGATGACTAAGCTTATAGCAAACTATTTCTTGTAGGCATGCGTGGTGCTGTATGCTTCGCTCTAGTATTATACATGGAAGTGGAAAAAGAGAAGAAATCAGTCATTTTGACGACCACGTTATTCCTCATTCTCTTTACAACACTTTTTCTTGGCGGTACAGCAATGCCGTTCATTTCTTTTATAAATAAATGTTATCCCGATGAAAGACCCCGACGAAGAAGAAGAGCTCTTCGGCGTCGCAGCGATGCTGTTATGATGAGTAAAACTCAAGAGATGGTCAGTTTCCTATTAAATATAGTTTTGTACGAAATGGTAAATGCGGCTATTCCAGTTTTTCCTCTGTCATCTTCCTCTCCATGTTTCAGGCAATGTTTGGAAGTGATGAGTGGACGCCGAAACGAAACGAGCACGTGGATAGACCGTCAACGGCAACCGGTCGACTAATGAGGCAACTTTTTGTTCGCAAGTTCACCGCATCGGAACGACAAGAAAATCGCGAGAAGTTGGCTGCACTGACGAGAACTGTGCTGAGAAATGGAGAGGAGTCGGAGAGCGAGGTGATTGAGTGAAATTCCTACAGATCTATCGAGGCTTGATCTCTCTTTCTAAATCCTTTTTCTTGACCAAGAAAAGCGGATAGACTTTTGTTGGTATTGGTTGCTCTCCCTTAATTGTTCTTAATTTCGAAGTTGGAAGAAAAACCATTCTGACATCCTACACTAGTTCATATGGTGAAAAAACATATACAGTAGCATTCGAAAGTATTTGGCCAAGCACCGTAACTTTTTTATCAGTGGAGCAAATCGTATAAAATTTTGATGTTTAGCTGAAGCACATTTTACACTGTCCGACACTACTTGACTGCAAAGCAGCCATATCCACANACTAATGGGGAGGCGTCTGTAGACTTTGCTGAAAGCAAGTTTGTGACGTCTGCAGTTATTCGGACCTCATGTACACTTTTCTTCTCTTCTGGGTTCGGCATTAGCTCTCGTACACTTTAGGCATGGCAAAAAGGAAAGAAATTCCAGAAGGGCTATCAATCGTGTTTCCAATTGATTTTTTGTTCAAGCCCTTTGGAATATCTGGAACATGATCAGATTGCAGGATTGATAGTGGTAAATTTCACACTACATCTATGGTACGTACCGAAATTTCGCTTGATTAGATCCAGTAGGAAAAGAGTTACGACTGAAAAAGCACGACCGAAGAAGCCGAGTTTGGCCGAATACTTTGAGCGCTACTGTAAGGCGAAACGCAATCGCGTAGTTTTGACTGTCACTGTAAGATATAGTCAGTTATACCAGAGATCATTAACGGAACGCATTGGTGGCTAGAATGATTAGATTTTCTGTTCAAGTTCGCTTCATATCCGGTAGATGGACCGGCGTTTAGTGGGAACATTTTTCGTTCACATACTTCGAAAATCCGGTGCAGGCCGCGTTGTCTTGTTCTAACCTCGAAAAGATTTTCTCTGATTTTCAATGAGTGGCCTTTCTGATGATTCCTGAGGCTGCCAGAGAAACTGTGCTGTCTGGTAGAGCAGTTCTGAAAGTTCAGAAAGTACTCATTCACGGTTAGGATAGCGAGCTGAAAAGACCTCTTAAAATTGTTTTGCACTGGGTAGGTGCACTGCCAACTACTTTATGACCCCTTCACCAAAACTTCATTGTGATCGCTCAACAAGTACCGAAATTCTCTATATTAGTAACGTTTGCCATATGCAGGTATTTATGCAATACAATTCGATATTTGTTGCCTTTTATTCGATGGACGATTTTTACTGTTCGGTTTTCAGGTAGATGAATCTACACTCAGTGCGCCTCTTCTGGAGTCGGTTTCTACTGATATTTGAGAGCTTCTTTAGCAATCGTTTCGCATACATTCCTCGTGACGTGTCCTGTTCGGAATTTCTGTTATTTTATACATCAATCTGTTAGAGCTTATATTAAGCTCTTCTCACATTACACGGTAGCCTTTGACCTTCGCTTACAGCCGGCTGCTCTTAGTTTATACGGCTCTACATTGAGACTTCCTTTGCTGATAAGAAATAATATTGAGTAGTCATTTATGTGATATAGAATGAGATTCGCACGAATTAATCGCCTCCCCCGTTTACACTTTACCTGTTGCACCGTGCCCAGATGGGCTTGGTGCTAACTGCGAAGGTGTGAACTCGTGGAGGCAAAACGCCAGTCTTTTCCATTGTTATTTCCTTTTTATCATGAGAGCTATGATGAATTTTGCTTTATCGCCTTATTTCCTGATTAACCATCAGTGACTGTCCATTTATTTGTTTTGAACCTTACAGAGCTGTTAACAGAAGCACTTGATTCCCGAAATACGAGTCCTTTATTCAGCAAATTATAACATTTTGTACATAATAAATGACGTAGCCAGTGTACAATAAAGCATTCTAACTATTATTATTAATTATTATATTATAGCCTATAAGTATGAGCTTATTATATTATATAAATAACCTAGTCAAGCTTGTATGGTCGCAACTAGTGAGTACGGAGCTGGAAAGAGGCGTAAGAGAAGTACAACTGTCATGAGAAAGGCAATCTTCGGCAGTTACTGAAGTAGTAATACATGGTAGGATGGAGTACCAGCCATAATGCACGGAATGAAGGAGTTACTGTGAAGTAAGTAATGTGCTCAGTAGGAAGCTCGAACTCGGACCTAATCTACCCAGGTCTTAACGATCTTTTCGAGACTGCCGAACTAGGTATGGCTAACCTACGTGATGGTAGGACATGCAAACCCTAATTGAGTTGAGTGGCAGTGGCACCTAAGTGGACGGGCACTTTTCATTAATTCTAAGTGGGTCGTAATTTTATCTATTAATGTGGATGATTAGGAGTTTCTTACTAAAAAAACTTCTTAGTTTCCATGTAGCTTTTACTCTGCTCTTTCGCAGATTTCGAAGAGAAAGTAATTCTCCCTGGATAATCACGGAATTCGTGTTGAAACTTTCACACACTAAACTTGGGATTTGTTTTTTGGGAGTTTCACTCTCCCGAGTAAAGCAGCGACCGGGAAGGTAGTGAAGGGAAATGGAAGTTACAGCAAATCTTGACTTTTCGATGAACGGAGTTTTCTCAGGTGTAAATGGATCTTTTCAAAGATGAGCAGCGGGCATGTCAAATCCTCCATTACCACCGACGAATCGCTTACTCTTAGTGTTCATCGAGAATCCTACATCATCACCGGCTTCCCAGTTGTTTGGGATTTTGAACATTGTGTCCCACTCGTCTCTGGAACAGGTGCGTTTGTTTCTTTTTATATACTTCTGGTTCTGATTTACAATCTCTTTTCTGTTTGAGTAATAGTTCGACCAACTATTTCCTTTCATTGATTGGTTTAAGTTTACTTATTTCAAGAAAATCACCTTGCTCTTCCTTGAGTTGAATATGCGGTGTTGACAGCTGGCTTAGTGGGATCCAAGGAGGGTAGAATAAATCGCCCGCCGATCCCGGGAATTTCTTTCTCTGTGGCCCCGACCCATCGTAATCGAGTGTGACGACCTTTCGGTGTCCAGTCAAGAGGTGGAATCGGTCGTTCTTCGATGATCTGAATACAATCCGAATACTGTAAGATATCTACAACTGCATACCTTGGCACTGTGAAAGCTTATCGATTGGAAACACCCAAGTATTCCTACATCGGTTTCCTTAGGTTAAAAAAGAACTGTAAAGAGTAGTAGGAGTATTGTTCATTAACACTGTCTGCGAAGAGTACTCCATAAATTGGTGACCTCAATATGAACCAAATCAATACAAAATGGCGCGTAGTGGTTGCCTAGGGGCTCGAACTGCCTCGTTACAGAGATAGTATAGGCATCTGTACTGTCTTAGCGAGCTGTTCCAAGGTGTCCTTTTAATCGTACCTGAAGGCAGGGATCTCCTCTTGTTTTGAGATTTTTCATTTCTGTTTCTAAGTTACAGCGACTATGTTCCTCACCAAACAATCACTAAAAGGGGCTTCATTGTTGACTCGATTACACTTGCCATTTACTTTTAAGATTTCCACTTTTGCTTACTGCAGCAATTTCGAAAAGTCGCTTCAGAAGTCAACTGGTTAGGTTCCTCGTCTTCACCCTATATCGGGTTGACTATCTACAAAAACTTTCAGAGGTTATTGCTCTTCTGGAGTAGTGAAGGGTCTTCACCCAAGTCGCTCTCTACGCCATGGATTATAGTCTTATACTGTTCTCTTATCCCTCGCACACTTCTGCAAAATTCCTGTTTGTTTTTGAGAAAAGAGCTCAATTTGGTGGCTTTTTTCCACTTTCTCCCTTGATAATCATTTACATAATTGGATGCTTTCTCATATGGAAAAAGTCAGCATGGTTCCCTGAGTAATCATGTTGCTTGTCATCGTTGCAGTCCAGAAACTTATCAGAATCTATTGAAAGTCGATTTAATCGATATGAATAAGTGATTTGAATAAGTGATTTGCAGCGTAAATGCAGTTCTACTCACCTGTGACACTTTGCCATCGATCGGATTGTGAGTTTTCGTGCCAAACAGTCGTGGGAATGCTTTGATTTGCTTGATACGTTGCTTGCCTTTTTGTTCAGCTGTCAGGATTTCTCTGAAATGCGCAGCTGCACATATTTGTACAATAAAATAAGCAGAAATAGCAGTACTTTATGTTTTGGGGGGAGTGGCCTGTACGGTTTGTGAAGTTTTATTGGAAAGTGACTATTCAATAACAAAAAAATGAGTCAACCTCACATGTACTCCTACGTCCTAATATAAAGATACTTTTAAGAACATGATCTAATTTTAATCAGTGATCGAATCTTGCCACGTATTTATGTCTATTTCTCGTACTAATATGACAGAATGCTTGTTGTTACGGCCAAATGGTTGGATCATTTAACCGGTTCACTGTTCGGAGCCCGCTAAATATGTTACCGCGAACGATGGAAGGTATGTGAGTTGTATGAGAGGAATTATCGAAGTAACCCAATGGTAGATAAATTGATGTTTCGAATGGCTCAAAATGAATAATAAGGCAAATAACCTTCCACCCAGAACTTCTTCGAGGTTCCCGTCGAGAAACAATGGTGCAATATTTGGATTGTTTTGTAAATTTGTCAGAACCTGGAAATAACTTCAATTATTCTGCAATCAGTCTCCTTTCATTAGAAGCAGTTTTATTCTGATATATGTACGTAAGAGTTCAAAAACCTGACAATCTTACCCTTGATTTTCTGTTGATAAATCCTGATGGATAACTATCACCTGAACGACGAATTTCTTCTTTTTCTTCTTCTGGATCGATTCCCACTATCAGTGGTAACATTTTCCGGGGTCTGATTTTTTTTGAGTTTTCTCAATATTATTAACAATTCCAGCACAATGAACAATGGCTTACCTCTGTGGAAGCCTTCTAGGCACAAAGAATCCCGGCTGCGGATTCGGGTTCTTTATCAGTGGCTTCGGTTTAAGATAACGTTCGACATCATCGACCCTGAATTTGAAATTACGGACATAAACCTAGTCGCCAGGAAGAAGGGCGTGCAGGTTGCCAAATGGGAATCAATGCAAGGAGCTCTAATCCCATTTGGGTCCTGTCCTGATAGCACCCGTTCGAGATCCATACAGTTGTTTCTGTGGGTACATCGCTGTAGTAAATCGGATGAGTGTACGGTTTACATTACTGTAGTGCACTATAGATTTTAGGAAGGGAATAGGGGCAGCTGACTGGGTCGAAGCGATAATTAGTCGTGGTATAACCAGGCTTCATTGCCACCTCCACTTCAGACGTCGCCATGTTAAACTTCTATTCTGCCAGTTCATTTAACAATCTTGACCACCTGAATAGAGTTCTTTACCTATACCTGCAAATTAATATACCACCTTTCTGGTCTTTTTTCTGATGCTTTTTCAGTTTTCTAAATGGATTTCTTTCATGATCATTTCAATCGTCGCAACCCAATCACTTTCCACCAGTTGGATGTGGAATCCTTACTACGCACACCGGCTCGATTCCCGGTAATTTTTTTTGTACCGGCATGGCTTTATTTCCAAGAGAAAAGTTTAAAGGTGGCTCATGATATGCAGAGCAAAAATTCATAACTAACCGGTACGTGAGCTTTTCCAAAGCTTCTCTCACTTCCGCGTTACTTTTCAGTGATTCAGCAAAGGCTGGTGATAGTGAGAGTGGTGATCGTCGTATATGATTATCTTCCTGAAAAAAGTCTTGGTCTTCTTTTGATATTGGAATTGCTTCTTTCATGCTTAATATTATAAAGTCCCTCTCACAGTGTCTTCCTTATTTTTGTCGTCGTCCTCATCATCTTGGAAGATCTCATGTAATCCCAGCACGAGTGACGATTTGGTATCGAGCTTTGGCTGAATATATACGGATTTAAACGAATTTCAGATTCCCAGATGCGTCTTGTTCAAGCGCTTGAATTCTATTTTATTCTTGATTTCATCGATAAACGTCCGAAGAAAAGGTTTGTCAAGCAGTGCGGCTGCTTGACTCAGCTCACATCCCCCTCAATTGATGGTGAGTCTGTTGTCGGGCATTTTCAATTCGTTTCTCATTAACCAATTTCTTTCATTATCGTCTTATATGCTTGTATTATTGCTTAAATGTAACTCATTTTTCTGACCACTACAGGATCTCGCCCAAATCCTCTACAGTATGATGGGGCTTTTGATAAAATGAAAAACACTAAATTTTACATCTTCAGACTATTCAAAAGTGAAGTCAAATGACTTGTAACATCAACATTTGTACAAATAAATAATGGAATGACTGGTATTAATTGTAATTAAGTGACAACTATACTTACTACTCTTTCAGCATAGTCAACGTCATTGTCGCCGGCTAGGCTTCTTCCACTCTGGATCGGTTCGTCTCGAAGTCTTCTATAGGTGAGAGCTGATGCCACCTCAGGGTTCTTAATCATTACTTTTTGTATCGTTTTCAATCAATATTTTACGAACAGTATATCGAGAGCAACATAGGAAAAATAAGGAAAAACGCAAGGGATTTATTTTAATGAAAAAAGGGGTATCTTTTTTCCTAGCAACACTGATTGAACAGGTACTGTTCTTTACATAAAAATTATTTAACGCTCTCTGAATTGGCTACGTGTTTCCGAATTGGTCCATTTTATTTATACAGTGTTAGATGTCAAGAAATCGAGAAGAGTTCGAACGGGAACTGTTTGACCAGCGCGCAGCTAGCGGAAGCCCGAAACTATGAATGAAAGCAAAGTTACAATAAGGGAAAAGTCTGAACGAAGCGTCCGATTTGCGTTAGATTAAGGACAGTGTTAAACAGAAAATAATTCCTATGCATTCACCTGTAGCAGGGCTCTTAAACGAGGACTGCTACGTAGCTTTGTCAGTAGCCGTCGCCTGGGAACTTCTTCGGAGCTGGCATCGTCTAATATTTCAGGCCTGGAACTCCTGTGTGAAAGACGCAGCCCATCACTTGGCACGACTGTTTGTTGGGATTGCTGGAAAGCTAATATTCAATTCTGTTACAAAAAGGTTCGACTAAAATATACAACTACTAAAAATATTGTCAGTACCAATAATTATAACGGATGATTAAATAAAGTACAAATAAATAAGTTATCGAGTAGCTTCAAGCAATAATAATTAATAAAATACTCCAACATAGCTTTTATCACTGAGTTTTGGCTGAGTGTGAGCTCACTTTCCACTTAACTTCTTTCATTTTTGTGAGGAGAGTGGATTGGAAAAGATGTTTAAACTTGGCGAACAATGAAAAAACGAAAAGAAACTCGAGTGGGATAGAAAAAAAGAATAAAAAATAAGGACTGAGAAGAAAACGATCGATATTCGTTTTATTAATAACTGTTGGAAATGTAATAGTTTGGTAGCCACTGAATTACCCATACCAGAGCCATTTTTCGGACCTCCACCGGCTGTGGCTGTGGTGATCGCATTTGTTGAGGGATTTTAAAGGGATTTCTCCCTGCTATCATGTTTGCTACCAGGCCAGGTAGAATTTGGGTTTGGAACTTCTCCAGGACCGCCTTTGCGATCTGAAATAAAAACACGGTCCACTGTAGCTGGAAAATGTCATATTTGTTTGAATGTTATGCAAAATAGCGCCAAAAGCACTTATTTATTTGTTTATTTTATTCATTCAATTTTTTCTAGATCCCTTATCATCAATAACTTACAAGGTTCCACATTTTCAAAAGAAGGACACATCATGGCATTCAAATGATACAATTATAATTGTAAATTAATACATCCAAGCAAAGAGCATTTTTGAGCAAAGAAAACATTCAAATAAATTATAATAAATTATAATTCATTTGAATGTTTTCGTTGCTTGTTATTTTTGCTAGAAGCTTAATTGATGGATCACTTCTTCTTTGACTGTTGCTCTCTTCTTAAAGGTTCTATGAAGGTAGAGAAAATAGTGGAGCAATAACTTGAGATGACACTCCTGGTCGCAGTTCCTCATGTACTGAACGGCTGCTTTCATAGTCCGCAGGCAGGCGCGCTGGCGCGCAGGCAG